GGGTATCATAGTAAATTATGCACTTCATTTATTAAAGCAATCTGGTATTCTCTCACATATGATGATGCTTGTGTCTGGTTTATAGTATTACTACTAATGTTGCAATTTTTTTATTTGGTACACCATTATAATACTGGCTAATATCCATTTCATGTCCGCTGTGTAGGACTTATTGAACATCGTGAGGCATATCAGAGTGTTGGAATATGTTCAGGCAACTGAAACAGTGTAATGAGGAGGTATATCAACAAGGCCAAATTTGCAGCGCCACTGAGGAACATACTGCTTGGACGGAGGGAAAGCACAGGTCAGTAACCGCTGATAACAACATTTTACAAATTGTCCCTGACTTCCTTTTTGTTCTTATTTGCTAGATATTGCATTTTCTTCTCCTTGTGTGGCCTTCTCGGAACTTTTATCAATGAATATTTATGCGATGTTATTTCAGCAATCCGATCTTCTGTGTGAGTACTCATTCGAGGTAATTTCTTTGACTTTTTAAATGAAGTTCTCCTTTCCTACTCAGTATTTAAATCCGCATATCCTGAAATTGAGGGACTAATCTGCTATATGAGAAAGAAAAAACTGCCCACTGTTTGCTCTATCTTGAATCTTCCATGCTTAGTCTTCCTTACCTTTGAGCCATTAAAGGTTGTGGTCATCACATATGAGTTATGAGTGCATTTGAGTTCCACTAATATGCTCATTCTTGATTCTGCTTTAGTCTTTTGTTTAGTCTCCTTTACTTTTTAGTCGCCAAAGGCTGTGGTGATTTGAATGAGTTATGAGTGTATATAGAATTCCATGGAAGTTTCTAGAAAACGTTAGCTCTTCCTATCATATTATTTGAGTTGATATAGTAAGATTATTGATTACATATTTGTCATTTTCTTTTCCCCATATTATGGTTTAAAAGGCTTGACATAACTTCTTAATATTAATGGTTACATACTTCTTTTTATGTCTTTTTCTATATTTAAGTTTAAATAATCATGGACAGACTTCTTCCTCTATTCTTTCCTTTACTTGCTAGAGTGTTATAAGCTCAATGTAAGTTCAATGTAAGTTCAGTGATAAGAGATGTTATTTCCTGGAAAAAAAAAAANAAGAAGACCCTCAATCGTAGCAACAAAAGAGAAATCCTCATGAATAAAAGCGTCAGCGATGTCGCAGTTAGCTTGAGTTGGTACTTTCCAATAAAACTGCATATCATGAACAACAAGAGGAATATTGATAGAGTAGCTCCAATATGGTCTGTTGAGGGTGAATAGTGAGCCTACTTCTAGCAAAATGATGCATCCCCTATTAGGACCACAAAACGCTGCAAAATTGTCCTTCTCTGGCTTTGTTTCGAACATCTTGCTACTAGACTCCATGTCCGGCTTCTGACCAGATTCGTTGACCCAAAATTTTCCTTCAAAACTGCTCAAGCAAATAGCGGTATGTCCAACACAAGCTCCTGTTGCACCTCTGTCGATAACAAGTCTAATTGCTGACCCAGGATCAAATCGGAAATGAAGTAACATATGTGGAGCGGCCACACATTCAGAGGTTAGACTATACCTATACACTACACGACTGTCAGGCGTTGCATCGAACATTGAGGAAACAACTCCAATTTTCTCAAGGTCTGGGAAAATAAAGCCAGTGGACAGAGCTTCGTGCCGCTCGAATTCTGACTTTGTATCCCCCGTAACAATTACAAGTGGCTGTGAATCAAGAGTTGCTGTCACGAAACCTGCTTCCGCTGTTTTGTTATCCAAATCAGAGTTCAACTCAGTGGATGTATCTTTAATCTTCGCAGATTCAACAGACAAAGTGGCATCAATTGTAGAGTGCTCAACTCCAATGTGTCGGGCCTTTGTTTGGGCTGTGGAGCAGCAAACACCTTGGAGATGCAGTGAGGCATTTCGTCGAACACCAGTTCTGCAGTCATGTCTGAGTAGACATGTACTGAAACTGCAACTTTCATATTAGTCTCTTCATCTGTTAGTTCAGCAAATAGAATGGAGTCACAACTCATGTCTGGTAAGAGGGATTGATCTGGAACTGCAGGTGGAAAAGTAGGGCTCGGGGGTGGAAGGGAAGCGGAGGGTATGGGGGAGGTGAAAGGGACGCATTACATGAAAAAGAAGTATATACTTATGAAAAAGAAGTATATCGTAGCTATGTGTACATGGAACTCTTTTCATTACAGTTAGCTATTTTGATTTGGGTGTGGGTAACTGTGTTTGCACCTAAAATCTTGCAGACAACTCGAAGCATTTGATTTTATTCTTCCAGTGCAATCTCCATGGAAATTGTGTAATTTCTATCCTACTATTCCGAAAGAGTATTGTGTAGAGTTTGATCTAAATCTTTGTTGTTACAAATATTGCAATAGTATAAGAGATAAGATATTCCTCAACTTCTCTCTCGTTCTCTGAGTTTCCACTATGGGAACACCTCTTAACTTCCGCAAAATTCCACTCCTAATACAATCCTACTTTCTCAATGTTCTTGCTTCGCTTTTCTATTATCTCTACTTCAAAGAGTTATTTTATCTGATTTTTCAGTTTGGACTTGACATAGAACACTACGAGTTGAGGTAAAGAAGCCTTTTAATTCTCTGCATCTTCTTCCTTTCTTCTTATCGTCTCGGCTGAATGTTCTAATTTCAGGTCTGCTCATCTCAATTTTTGCCTAAATTTCTTATCCTTTTTTTCTTTTCAGTGTTTTTGTTGGGTTCTCTTCATACTTCTCACAATTATGTTATCATTTGCTTCTCTCTCTTTGCTTAATTTCTATTCTCTCCGTTTAATTTTTTGTTGTTGGAATATTCTTTTTTGCTTTATTTAATGGACAATAAAATCTTGGGTGTTGTTAATTAATACTGAATATTTTTACCTTTGGTGTTTGGCAGGCTACTGTTATTTAGGATTCATTGCCAAAGGCACATGCGTCATCATTGTTTCTAGGTTGTTGTACACCCAAAGGTGTCATGAGACTGTACTGAAGTTTGTTACGGAGAATTGATGTGGTTCTTAAGCTTGAGCAGTTGAATTTTCTCTGAAGAAAGCTTCTGAAATTTATCAATGCAGACAACAAGACTTTAGTGAATCCTTATTGCTGACGAATTCCGTCAACTAATATATTTCTTGTAGCCACGAATTAATTCTTTCAAGGAATCCAACTTGCATTAGGAATTAACTTTTTAGCTTTTGATCATCGCCTTCAGGTAATCTAGTGATGGTAGGCTACTAACCTATTTTTGCTCGTTTATGAAAAAAAATCGTGGCTAATACCTAACAATTGCCACGAAAATTATAATTTTCTGGCTATTTACAAATTCGTAAAATTTGCTAGCCAACAAAATTAAATTGGCAAAGCTAATTCCTTATTCTCGCTATAATTGCTAACAATCGTAGTAATAATTGCCTAAATAGCTACAAATTTATTGTCATAATAAATTGCGTAGCTAATTCATACGTTTTAGACACACATTAAAAGTTATTATAGCAATAGTAATCTTTTAGCTAAAATAAATTATTTGTAATAAAATATTATAGCTAAAGAAATACATTTGCTCCAAGCTATACAAAAATTGCGGCAATAAGTAAATGATATAGCCACATATTTATTGTTATGACATAATATTATAGCTAATTGTTAGTTTTTGCTATGAACGGAAAGTTACTGTAGTAAAAAATAACCTTTTAACCATAATAAATTATTTAAAATAAAATACTATAGCTAGATAATATTTTTTCTTCAAGTGCTAAAAAATCAGGACAATAGTTGCCATAATAGCTATAATTTTATTATAGAATAATCTAGCCACAAATTTATGCTCTGATAAAATTTCGTAGCGAATCATTAGCTTTTGCCACAAGTTGAAACTCCATATAGTAATAATAACCTTTTAGGCCTATGAAATTATTCGAAATAAAATCTTGTAGCTAAATAAGTATTTAAATTATAAAAAAATAAAAATGATTAGCTTAAAAAAATGAAAATGATTGTCATAGCAAAAATGATGAATATTTTTGCTCTTTTATGAAAATCATGACAAGCGTTTTCTAACACTATTAGGTAATAAAATATTAATGTCAAACGTAAAACTTATATTTTTTTTATAAGATAGAAAATAGTAATTGCATATAATTAAGGAAGAGAACAGTAATTGTATATGAAATTAAATAATTATTTGAAGTGCTAAATTAATCTTCATTCTCAAACAATGTTTACCTGCATATAGCAACAAAACTTGTCAATTGACTTTTGAGACTTATCAAACTCATATTTTATTTTATTGTAGTTGTTAATTATATAGTTTTTATATTTAAAATTTAAATTATTACTAATAATTATTACTAATTATATATATTAGACGATAAACTATGTTACAATGATATGGCATTTACTATCTTAATAATTATCATAAATTTAATATCATTTTTATACATGAAGGAAATCTTGTCTCTTGTGAGAGTATTATTTCTATTTAAAAATAGTTATATATTTTACTAGTGTTGGAACACATACGATGTGTAGATAATTTAAAAGAATATTAATTTTACGTTATACTTTTCAAAATTCTTTAATTATCTAAATTTAGCAATAAAATTTTTGAGTGTATTTTACTTTCCTTTTTTTAAAGATTAATTCAAGTTAAATATCCTGACAATAATTTTTATCCTCCTTTTTAGTACATTCTTTACTATAATATTTGATTCATTTCCTCATTTGTACAAGATAAGCCTTTTATTATTTTTATAAAACATCTACCACTATTTTTAACAATTATATATATATATATATATATATATATATATATATATATATATATATATATACTAGGTGACGGGTGCCCGTGTTGTGCACGGGCAAATGCCCGACATGGTTAGAAAATCTCATAACAAATAGAAAAGCACAGTATTCATCTAAATGTTAGTCCAACCTAAACCAACTTGTTACGATTTAATTTCAATATAAAAAACATAGATATAGTAAAAGGTTAATCTAGCAAGGGAGTAGCCACTTTCATAAGTTTAAGCACAACTCCCGTTAGCTATTTACAGAGTTTGCCTTTAAATTTATTTATTGGCTAACTATTGACAACAAGGAATTTTTGCTTCAAGATTTCTCTTTGCAGGCATCAACTGTTGTTGCACAAAGTCTATTTCTACTGGCTATGACACAAGTGGTAGGCTCATCAAAACCTGCACAAATAACATGTGAAATGTCAAAAGACCATTGAACAAAAATTATCCAAAGTGCTGAAATTCTCGAAGTCTAGGTCCTAAAATTTATACTGTTCAAGAATATTTCCTACAAACATTGCTAGGATAATTTATGTGGTCTATTGATAGATAATCTCTCTCCGTCTTTCGAGGACATGATAGATGGAATGATAATAAAAACAAAGAAAAATTGATATGCAAATTTCCAGGATTTCATTTACTGCTAGCAATCACGAGGCTCGAATAGTTGTGTTAATAAGTGCTCCAATAAAACAAGTTGCACCAGAATCTCTGTTATGCCTATACTAAAATATCCAGCATCTTTAGGCGGCAGGATATCTACATAAAACTTCCGAAATGTGACGAGCCAAAGGGGTCATCACTTGTTTTCTTATCCATTCCGAACTTCTGAGGCCTTGAAAACCTCATTTTTAGTCGTCTCGACTTGCGTGCGCAGTCTGGGTGCGTAGCCGGAAAGCCTAAATGTGAAATTCTGTGAAAAATGCTAAAATTTGGTATTAAAATAAATAAGTTTGACTTTGGCCAACATTTTTGGGTAAACGGACCCGGACCCGGACCCGTGATTGACGGTCCCGGAGGGTCCGTAGGAAAATATGGGACTTGGGCATATGCCCGGAATCGAATTCCGAGGCCCCAAGCCCGAGCAATGAATTTTTGAGTAAAATTATTTTCTGAAATATATGAAGAAAATTGAAATGAAAATTGGTTAGAACATGATGGTATCGGGCCCGTATTTTGGTTCCGGCGCCCGATACAGGCCTTATGTATGAATTAAGCACTTTCTGTAAAGTTCGGGTGAGACGGACGTCGTTCGACGTGTTTCGAACTTAAAATGGGAATTTGATGTTCTATGAAAAATTTGGAAGAAATCATGAGCTTTGAGGCTTGATTTGATGTATATGATGTTATTTTGGCGATTTGACCGCACGGGTAAGTCCGTAGGATGTTTTTGAGGTGGTGTGTATGTTTGGTTTGGAGCCCCGAGGGCTCGGGTGAGTTTCGAGTAGGTCCCGGGATGCCTTAGGCTTAAAATACCAGATGTTGCAGGCTCAGGAAAATATTGCAGACTTTGAACCCTCCAGCGCGGTCCGCGAGAAATCGCGTGCGGCCACGGAGGGGCCAGCGCAGCCGCGGTCGCCTTTGCGCGGTCTACGGTTGGTGCTGTGCGGCCGCGATCGCCTTTGCGCGGTCCGCGGTGGGTGCTGCGCGGCCGCGGTCGTCTCCGCGCAGGGGACTTCAGAGATCAACAGGTCTTTAAGTAGGTCAGCGCGGCCGCGGTCCCTCTTTGCGCGGTCCGCGTAGGGGACTTCCGAAGGGTATAAATAAACGGGAATTTCAGTCATTTTTCACTTTTCAAAAACCCAAAACATAAGAGGCGATTTTCCCAACGATTCTTCTTCTTCAAAACGATTGGTAAGTGACTTCTAACTCATTTTCTTCACTCCTTAACATCTTTTAACATAATTTCAACTTCAAATCAAAGATTTTAATGGGGAAATTTGGGTATGTTGGGTAGAACCTAGATTTTGCTAAAATTGGGGATTTGGACCTCAATTTGAGGTCCGATTTCAAAATAAATTACATATTTGGGTTCATGGGAGAATGGGTAACCGGGTTTTGGTTCGAACCTCGGGTTTGACCACGTTGGCCTGAGGGGCGTTTGGTCATTTTACCTAAATTCGTGTCTTAGCTTTAAATTACATAGTGGAATCAGTTTTTTGAGATGTTATTTACGAGATGTAATTGAAATGAATAGATTTGGGCCATTTGGAGTCGGATACTCGTGGCAAGGTTGTGGTTTCGAGTTTATTTTGCAGCCGGTTTGAGGTAAGTGGCTTGTCTAACCTTGTGTGGGGGACCTTTCCCCTTAGGATATGATATTTGGTAATTGAATGCCTTGTACGTGAGGTGACGAGCGCGTACTTGAGCTAATTGTTGAAAGCCGGTTTTACTTTAAATATTTAGACTGAGTTTCTTTCTTACCTGCTTTATTCTACTTGCAATTATAGCCCGTGTTAGTCTAGAAAAGCATGCTTAGCTGACCTAAAATTGCCTATTTGCTTAAGTTGCCTGGATTGTACTACGTGAAGCATGTTAGGTTAGAACTACTTGTTGCCTTGTATTTCTTTTGCACTCTAGTTCTGAATATCTTCTTGTTGTGGCTGCGTATTTACATTGGGACTACGGATGTGGGATTCCGGTAGCTCCCCCCCCCCCTATTTGTTTACTTTGGGACTGCGGGTTAGATTCGCGATAGACCCCCCCTACCTTTTTACTTTGGGACTGCGGGTTTGACTCCCGATAGATCCCCCCTGCACATTGATAGCTAGACTACGGGACGGTATCCCGGGAGATCCTTCGGATATATACATGTGATGGACTACGAAATGGTATCCCGGGAGATCCATTAAACGGTTGAGAAAAGGACTACAGGATGGTATCCTAGGAGATCCTCATTGTTACCATTGGTATTGAACTGTACATATTTCGTGTTTACCCGTTCCTTGTGTAATTGTTATTGCTTTGTTTAGCTTGTCTTATTCCATTGCTGTACTCATTATTACTACATGTTTTCATACTGTTAATTCATATTATATTGTTTAACCTTAGTAGGGCCCTGACCTTCCCCGTCACTACCCAACCGAGGTTAGGCTTGGCACTTACTGAGTACTGCTGTGGTGTACTCATGCCCTTTCTGCGCATGATTTCATGTGCAGATCCAGGTAGCTCTACCCAGGCGTATCACTCTCGAGGCGGAGAGATCTAGCAGAGACTTCGAGGTACATCTGCCGCGTCCGCAGATCAGGAGTCTCTATCTTATTCTAGATTTAGCAGTTAGCTTTTCCTTTCGTACTTTTGCCTTAGACATTCTGGAGATTAGAGCATTTACAGTACTTCTTCTAGCTTGTGTTCCCGTGAGTTTTCGGGTTTTGGGATGATATTGTAGACTTCCGCATTATTGGGTTGTATATGCCGGGCGGCATTTATATACAGTTACCCTTCTAGTTTGTTTAGTTTAATTATTTGTTTCGGTAAGTTATGTTATTTTCGCACCGTTAGGCTTTCCTAGTCGTAGGGACTAGGTGCCATCACAACACGTTCACGGAGGGCGAACTGGGGTCGTGACAAGTTGGTATCAGAGCTCTAGGTTCATAGGAGTCACGGAACACAGGCCGGTTTATTAGAGTCTCGCTAATCGGTACGGAGACGTCTGTACCTATCTACGAGAGGCTATGTAACTGTTAGGAAAATTTTCACTTCATTGAATTTCCTCGTCGTGCGATATCTTGACATCACAATTCTAAACTTCTGTTTTCTATTCTCTCACAGATGGTGAGGACACGCGCTACTCGGAATGATCAGGCACCCGCGCCCCCTACTGCAGCCGTCAGAGGCCGGGACCGGGGTAGAGGTCGAGGACACGCACGTGGTGTAGCCAGAGCACCTGCGCGGGCTGCCGCCGAGGCACCATCAGCAGATCCCGCCGGAGCCCAGGCACCTGGCACACCTACTACTGCCACCACTACTTCAGGAGACTTTGGCTCAGTTCGTGAGTATGTACACCATCTTGGCTCAGGCAGGGTTGCTTCCCCTTGCTGCAGCCACATCCCAGGCCGGGGGAGGAGCACAGACTCCCGCCGTCCGCACTCCTGAGCAGCGAGTGCATGTTGAGCACGCCCCCGAGATTATTTCCGTACCGCCTGCAGCGCCAGTTCAGCCCGAGGACGGGTCAGCTGCTTCTGAGGACGAGCAGCGTAGACTTGAGAGGTTCAAGAAGTATGATCCCCCAATATTCAGTGGATTAGCATCAGACGATGCCTTGGGATTTATAGAGGAGTGTCACCGCATTCTTCGCACTATGGGCATAGTAGAGTCCAGCGGGGTTTCCTTCACTGCCTTCCAGCTTCGGGGAGCCGCCTATGATTGGTGGCGCACTTATGAGATAGACAGTCCAGCCGAGGCTGCCTCACTGACCTGGACCCAGTTCTCAGATATGTTCATGAGAGAGTTTGTCCCCCAGAGTCTCAGGGACGCATGGCGCGCAGAGTTTGAGCATTTGCGCCAGGGTGCTATGACCGTTTCGGAGTATGCTATCCGCTATACCAGGTTGGCCAGGCATGCACCGGCCTTGGTTGCTACAGTTCGTGAGAGAGTTCACAGATTCATTGAGGGTTTTATCCCACCCACCAGATCTAGCATGGCTCGAGAGTTGGAGATGGACATTCCTTATCAGCAGGTAGTGAGCATTGCTAGGAGGATTGAGGGTATGCTCGCCAGGGAGCGAGGGAGAGGGAGGCCAAGAGGTATCGAGAGTCGGGTCACTACTCTGGTGCCCGTGCCCCGGCGGCAGGTCGTTATGGCAGAGGTTACGTGGGTCGCCCCGTTCATTCAGCTCTTCCAGCAGCCAGCAGTGCTCCAGCTCCGCCTACACCTCAGGAGCCTTACTATGCACCTCCAGTTTCTAGCGCGCCTCCTGCGCGGGGTGCTTCCAGAGGTCAGTCCAGCAGACCTGACTCTAGTCAGTCACAGCCACCGCGTCCTCCCAGAGCTTGTTTCGAGTGTGGTGATACACGCCATATGGTTAGGGACTGCCCCAGACTTGGTAGGGGTGCATCTTCACAGACTGCTCAGCCACAACGTGCTCCTCAGAGTTCTCAGGCCATGGTCATAGCTCCAGCTGCTACCCCATCTACCCAGCCGGCTAGGGGCGGAGGTCGGGGAGATAGAGGTCGCCCTTGAGAGAGGGGCCAGGCCAGATATTATGTTATTCCTGCTCGTACCGAGGCTGTTGCCTCCGACTCCGTCATTACAGGTATTATACTGGTCTGTCACAGAGAGGCATCAGCTCTATTCGATCCGGGCTCTACTTATTCTTATGTGTCTTCTTACTTTGCTCCGCCTTTGGGTATGCCTCGTGATTCCTTGAGTGCCCCCGTGTATGTTTACTCTTGTGGGGG